TGCCCCTCGTTCTCTCACCTGATTGTGGGGACACCCCAGCTCCCCGAGACATAGTCTGTAACTTCGCTTTCTGTAGTCTCCAAGCCGCTGTTTTTAACACATCCTTTCTTCGTAAACTTGGAGGGGGTTCCTCGAGATTTGTGGGCAAGTGATTTATTCCAGAAGTGTTCTCAAAGACCGTTGCAGGAGGAAGTGGGGGGTAGCAGGAGAGGGAAGGGGGTGAAGCCAACGCAGTGAGCGGACGCGATGAGCAGCCTGCTGGCCCTCAGTGCCCTGGCCGGCATTTTCACCTTCCCAGGACACTCAATGTGGAAGAGACAACAGGTGGGTTGACATTGCTCTCCCAGGATACCTGAAGAGGTGTGTGCCTTGGCTGGTCGCTACATCTATGCTAGATCTTGCCTGGCTGCTTGCATTTCCATTAAAAAAAAATAACCCAACCGGGAATTTATTCCTCGGTGGCCTACAAGGCCGTGCTTGCAAGAGCCACCCCTGGGGACATGAATGATGTTGGCCACAGAGGAGAGCCACTTTATTGCTTAGACCATCTGATCCCCTAACCAGCCATGTCTCGTTTATTTTTGACAGGGCTTCACGGAGGGAGGAGGTACCGGCATGTGGCACGTGGCGTCGCTCTCGGTGGTAGGTGAAGAATACCTGGCCATGCATGTTTGCTTTATTTATGACAAATCGCGCTTGGGGACGCCGGGAGAGCAGGATTGCTTCCTCAACAAGACGCAGCTGCCCGGGAGGGACTCTGCTCTTGCAGGTGATGGATGCTGCCTGGTCCACTTACCCTCGGGTTCTGTTCATCCTTAGGAAAACTGCCTGCCTCATCCCTTGTGAGTTTTCAGGCACGAGACTTTTTTCTTTGCACTGATTGTGACTTTAGAAAAACAGCACTGGTGTTGGTGGTTCTTTGTGCACTTGGAATGGAGGGTGGACCTAGAGTGCGCGCTTCGTTTATGAAGGATGCCAGCTGGCCCGTTTGTCTTCTCTGTTGCATCTGTGTTCAGGGGGGCTCCTGGAGTCGACAGAAGCCTTGAAGAGCCGGGACTGTCTGGGGTTCACGGTGCTTTCGTTTCTGCTTTTGGAGGTGTGCTTTACCAAGGATTCACAGCATCTATTTTGGTAAGTCTCTCTACCCAGTCTACCTGAGAAATGATTTTTCTGGAAGCTGTGCAATATTTTGAGGTCGGGGAGGGCAGTAGCGGTGGCTGGCGGGCGTCATGCTTTGCCGCCTCTCAGTCGTGTTTTATTGATATTGTTTGTAATCGATTTGTCTAATCTACTCCTAACAGCCTATCACGTCGACTTATAGAATCCTGCCTATTGGGCCTTCTGGACATAAGTCTCACTTTCTGGAAGGTTCTTTGATGTCCTCCTCCCTCCAAGGTATGTGAAAGGATGTTCCCCTATCCAGTACACACTTTTATGTGACCTTTGTCATCGAGTGCCTTGGGGGAGGGCCTTGTGGAGATCACACTGACTTTAGGAACTCTGTAGGGTTTTTCTCTTTCTGTGATATTTTTGAAACGTAGAGGATAGTTGTCCCTACTGTGCTTACTTTATTTTTGGTGAGTTTTTGACCTACACCCACTTTTTCAGAATCAGACCTTGCTTTAGAATAGAAATACTCCTGGCCGTGGACTCCCCACTGGGGAAGACACATTAGGATCCCCCTCAGCAGGAGAGTGACAGCAGGGCAGACCCCAAGTCACGTGTCTTTTAATCAGGTCCATCGTCTGAACGTGGAGAGGCGAGGGTCTGACATCATGGTTCTTTCACGGAACCTAAAAAGCGCACGACCGCCCTGTGCGGCCCTCGTTTTTGATGCGCTGTGTTCTGGTTCATGCTTTCCAGGGCTGCTCAATTTTTGATTTTCCAAAGGTGGATTTTCCTTCTATGTTTACAGGGTTTATGGTTAAGCATAGAGGAAAATCCACATGTTCAGCATCTAAAGTTGCTCTTCAAACTTTTTGAACACAAAATCCCCCTCAGGGAAGAGAGAGAGGTTAACGCCCCCCTCAGGGGTGAAAGGAAGGGGGATCCTCAATGTGCGTTTTTGTTAGTGATGGGACAAGTCCTCCTTCGGAGCTCAGTGTCCCTGCCATCCCCACAGGAGGTCCACCCCAAGAGCACCTTCTGTCACCTTTATTTTTGACGGATTGTGCATTCCAGGACTAAATCCTTCTTTGGTATTTAAAAGGTGGATATTCCTTCTATGTTTATGTTGTTTATGGTTAAACATAGAGGAAATTCTACATTTTCAGTATCAAATGCTTCTTGGAAATTTTTCCGCACTGAAAGCACCGTCAGGGAGGCCAGGTGTGGCTAAGCCCCTTGGGGTAAGTGAAAAGGCGGTGGGTCCCAGCATGTGTGTCTGTGGACCACCCACCGGTCTTGAGGAGAGGCTGGGGTCTGTCGTCACAGTGTCACAGCTCTTCATGGCGCCAAACGGTCTTTTCCATGCATGTAGCATCGCTTTCATTTCTGACGGATTGTGCATAGGATCGTGCTTTCCAGGATGGATCTCTTTTGGTATTTAAAAGGTAGATTTTCCTTCTATGATTACGTGGTTGATGGTTGATCGTAGAGGAAAATCCACGTTTTCAGTATCAAATGCTGCTTTGGGACGTGCCCTGGACTGAAGCCAGGTGGCCAGGGGGGAGGCGACGCCCCTCCGGGGTAAGTGAGAAGGTGGCGGGCCTCGGAGCGTGTGCTGCGTTCGTGACATGTGCCTGCCGACTCATCATCCGTAGGAGCCCCCGTCACCGAGGAGCCGGCATCCATCGTGAGCGAAGAGGCTGCGGCGTGTCCCCGCGGCCGAGTCGGAACCGAGCAGCTGGCTTTGCTGTCTGGCTTCCGGTTTTGGCAAACAGCGCACAGACTTGTCCTTTCCAGAACTCAATCTTTCTTTGGTATTTAAAAGGTGGATATTCCTTCTATGTTTACGTGATTCATAGATAATCATAGAGGAAAATCCATGTTTTCAGTATCAAATGCTGCTTTGGACATGCTTCTGGAAGGGACTGTAAGGCCGACCCTCCGGCCGGAGAGGTGACGAGATGGGCGAGCCACACGCCGTATCGCGATTGAGGACGTACGCCTGAGAATCATCCATGTTCATGAGACTTTTTTCTTGCCAAGAATCCAACTTGGCGAAGATTATGTTGTGGGTCTGTCATTCCAATTACTTGGGGAACCTTGTCTGCCCTATGTGACTTAATTTTTGATGACTCGAGCACAGGTGCGCGGTCTCCTGGAAAGAATCCTTCTTTGGTATTTAAAAGGTAGATTCTCCTTCTATGAGTACATTATTTATGATTAATCATAGAGGAAAATCCACGTTTTCAGTATCAAATGCTGCTTGGAAGCCTCCGAGGATATGACGTCACCATCAAAGAAGAGACGGGGTCGGTGCCCCCCGTGGGCCCGGCAGTGGCCCGCGCTGGGCTCTGAGCGTCGTATCGGACAGGTCGCCCGGCTGGCTTTACCCTGCTGTGTAATGTGTTGTTAAGGGGGCTGTGCTCTCACTACTGTGTCAATGACCTGGAATGAATTTTGTTTTCTGTATGTTTACCAAGTTTGTAACGCGTTTTCTGGAATCAACCTTAGAGAATACCTAGATCGGCTGTCAATTTTTAGGAACGGGCGCTGGCGGGCTACCGCTCTGGGAAAGCATGAATGAACGTGTTGATCATCCACTGACGCGGGCTCCGCACACAGCTCGTGTCGCCTGCCCAATAACCCTGCGTATCCGATCTGTTTATCTTAGGCGCACTCCCGGAACGGATGCCAACTTGGTCACTTGAGAGTGGCTTTCCTACCAGTGATATCGTTTGCTACTTGAAAAGAGGTTATCCTTCCTGTGATTGCATTACTTATAATGAATATGTAAGGGCAAACTCTCTCCTGGAGCAAATCCTGCCGGCGAAGCTTCTTGGAAGGAAGCAAGGCCGACTTCAGGGGCCCATCAGAGGGCCGGGACTACCCCCGGGTACGCACGTGCATGGCTGGCCACAGGGCGTGTGCTCCGTCTTGCTGTGTGTGGCCATGTCCTCCTCCCCTCCTCATCCCATGCATCCTCCAGACATCCTTTCTGGCATGGTGGTCCCCAGCGAAGTCGCCGTCTCGTTTAAGTTTGGGCCATTTGGCCCGCCCGCTCTCCACTCCCAGCCTGTCCTCGGGCTGACCTTAGGGCTTTAAAATCCACTTGAGGGGAGGGGATGGGGTTGGTGCCAGAGTAAGGGAACGGGTGGCCCCAGAGCCCCGTGTTTTTATGGCGCTTCCTGCTGGGACCGTCAGGCCTTGGCGCCATCTTGTTCATGGGCATTTTCCAATGTTGCCAACTGTGATAGACCCTGGGATTACTGATGTCATTGTTTAATTAGAGTTGGCCCACGGGAATTTCATTTTCCTTTGGTGAAGCTTGCACTAGGCGAGTGCCTTTGAGTAACAGCTCGGATGGCTTTCCGGCCACAACGCCAAGTTCAAGAGAAGAGACGCTTGTCTCAGCACGGCTCTACAATCTGTGAATGGTGGTCAATCGTGCAGTGTGTTGGTTTTCTTTCTTTTATTTTCTTAATGATGCATGCTTTTGTGTCTTCTGACCCCCAGCCCCCAATGTTTCATCAGGTGGGCTTCCTGGAAGCGGTGGCTTTGGGAAGAGGCAGTTGTTCTGTCCCCAGGGCGGTTTTACAGGCCCCGAAGGAATGTCAGTCATTTATATCCGTTCTATGTCGAGTCACACAGGATCGCCCCGTCTTTGGGGAGACAGTCCTGTTTTGGAGAGATGCTGGGGAAGCACAGCCCACCTCAGAGCTGGGTCACAGCGTGTAGGGTGCAGGGTTGTCACCGGCCCCTTCCCGTTGGTCTCAGGCCCCACAGGAGCCCTGCTCTGGGAAGGTGCGGTGTGGTCCTCACCGGAGCTGCTCTTTGGTACTTGAAGAGAGGATACCCTTTGTATGTTCACTTTATTAATGGCGAATATACAGGGGGAGACTCTTATTTGCGTATCAAACTCTGACCGGGAAGGCACTCGGACCCAGCTCCATCTCCAGGACAGAGACACTGTTGTCCGCCCCGCTCAGGTATGTCCTGTCTTCCCGGGCCTGCTCGGGGGCTTCACCTGTGATGATGGCCCCAGGGCCTCCCCAGGGCCTCCCTGGAGGCCGTGCCATGCTGGCAGGGGGCAGGGCTGGGCCTTCTGTGCATCCGGTCTGTTCTACACTGAGTCTAACGGTGGTTTGTTTTTTTCAAGATGAGCCATGCGTGGACCCGCCCTTTGTCAGTGCCAAGTCATATCCGGGAGGTTTCCTACGTGAAGCTCAGAAGAGAGACCTTGATGTCAGATGCTTTCAAGGATAGCGTATGAGCGACGGTGGACCACAGAGCACCGGCTTTCTTTCTGATGGTTTCAAGCGCGATTGACTAACCCCCGTGAGTCCACCTGGAGGGCTCCCTGGAGGTGGCACCAGCCTTTGGGAAGAGGCTGAGCTTCGCTCATCAGTGCTCCTCCTCCGTGTTCGGTACACGTTCTTTTGCTCGTGGTCCCTGAGATGACCCCGTAAGAGCTATTTCTGTGTGTGATGTGTGATTGAAGTCCTTCCTGGAAACAATGTCCTCCACCGGAGCTGCCCGCTCTGGGGACAAGCCAGCGAGCATCCTCCCGTGCCAGGTACCTGGACGTTGGAAGGTCAGAGGGGCGTGCTTCTGTTTCGGTGTTTGTCCTCTGGCCCTCTGACCTCCTGTCTTCTGCTCGCCTCTAGGACGCGGCCAGGTGTGTCCGTGGAGACATCTCTTGGGCCACATGACTTTCGCTTTCCACACCCTGATTGTCACCCGGGGGCCGTCCGGCCCTGAGGCCCACATCAGGGGAAGGGCGCTGCAGCAGCCCCCATCGAGAAGAGTGACCGTCATCTGAGAGAGGTGAGCACTTCACCTGAGCCTTCCGTTTCTGCTCCTTCTGTAGGGTGGGGGCCCTTTCGGGGGCGAGGCCACTGTAGGGAGCTGGCCACGGGTCTGCTGTCCCCGTGCTCTGTGGTGCGTGGGGCTTGAGTCCTTTTCAGTGTCAAGTCTTTCTTAGCATGGCTTCTTGGACATACCAGCTTCCAGAGGGGTGGTGGGGAGGGGGCTGGCACTGGGGAGCGGCACTGATGTCCACGCCTCTGTGGAAGGCACGAGCGGGTGCTGACCACAGGGCCTTTGCTTAAATACTATGTGCATCCAGCCGGCCCCGTGCCCTCGGTACCCAGTACACGTCAGGCGACCCCCCCCTGAAGTAGGCTCCCTGCTGGTTCCACCCCCAAACTCTGCTGCAGAAATTGAAAGCTGAGCTCTGGGCGTGCGCTCCCAGGCCGTGGGGTTGAGCTCCTGGAAATGATGCCGATTTCGGTGAAGGGGCGCTGGCATCGGCTCCTCCCCGCGCTCGGAAGTGTGGAGAGCTGACCCGTGGGCACAAACCTGGCAGGAGGCGTGTGCCCCCTGGTCTGCTGACCCCACATCTCCCGCCTCCTCCCTAGGACCAGTCCCGGGAGCCGAGGCCAGCCCCCTGATCCGTAGTGATGCACCTGCCCAATGCTATTGTTTGGTACTTAAAGCGAGGTTGCCCTTTGTATATTCGGTTTATTAACATAGAATATACAAGGGCAAGCTCTCTGTGAGCATCAAACCCTGTCTGGGAGTCTTCTTGGACCCAGTGCACACTCAGCGAGGGATGCGGTATGTGTGTGCATGACTGTGCGTGTCCATTTGGCGTGTGGCAGATCGCTCACGGGTCACCACTTGGCAGAGGTGACTCCACGGGCACACGGCTGACTTTAGGGAAGGCAGTGGTCCAGGGAACGTCCCTCCTCCCGGCTATGCAGGGGCGGTCGGCGGGCATGCGCTGTGCGTGCGGTCTGGGTCCCGAGCCGGCCAGGTCGGCGCTGGTGTGGGGCGGTGGTGTTTTCGTCCCTGTCGTGTTTCGAGCCTGCATGCTTGTGATGCTCGCTGTGTGTGACCCAGTCCACTAACCGTCAGCGTCTAATTCATCCCCAGGACTGCGCCTTGAAGACATGCCAAGTCCTCCCAAGGCAGTGGCTTTCTTTTCCGTGCTAACCTTTGGTACTTGGAGAGTGGTTATCCCTGTCCTGTTCGTTTTACTCATGTCGAATCGTACAGGGTCATCCACTTTTTCAGTATCAAGAGCGCAGACTGTAGAGTTCGATGTCCTGTGTTTGGATCCCGCCTCTGACACTTACTAACCGTGCAAGGATTTCACCGTGCTGTGCCTGCTGTCTCTCGTGTCACGTGGGCATTGGAGGGCTGCCGGGGGTGGATGAGTTCAGACGCGTGCAAGGCTTAGACAGAGCCTGGCGCTCGGCGCTTCGTCAGTAGTAGTAGCCGTGACACTGTGTGCTGTGTAGCGTGGTGGTGGCGGGGGCGGGGTGGCTGTTGGGGGCGGCGGTTGGTGGGGGGTGGTGGTGGTAAATTCTCTCCTTGCTGTTGTGGAAGTCAAACCCTTGCCTGGGTATGTGAATGGGTCACTGAGCCCAGAGTTTATGCCATGCTTATGATGGGGGCCACCAGGGCTCCCGATAGGTAGCAGCTAAGCCCCTCTCATGATGGCATTTGGAAAACCAGGAACATTTGCCCCACGTAAGGACAGTCCTAGGATTCTTGACCTCAGCCACCATCCACTCTCTGAAGGGGTTCTGTGGCAGCTCGCCCATGCCCCCGCCCCGGTGCTGACAGGCCATCTGCGGTGCGTGCATTGTGTGCGTGCGTGTGCATGCGTTGTGTGTGTGCATGCGTGTGCGTGCGTGCGTGCGTGGCCCCGCACGCACCTGGGTTTGCCGAGTTTCAGTCACTGTCCACACGTGAGCCAGACCTGGAGGTGCCGGTGTTCCCGTCCGTGCCACCGTTTCATACTTGAGGAGAAGTTATCCTTGGTGTGTTCGCTTTATTTGTGAGGAATCATACAAGGACAATTTCTTTTTGAGTGTCAAATCCTGCCTCGGCGGACTTCCTGGGCTCCACGACAAGTTCTGTAAAGAGATGTGAGCATCAACCCCTCCCCAGTTCTGTGGTGGGGGTACTCGTATGCTGACATTCGGGACCCTGGAGGCAGGGCCAAGCTTGGCAAGGGGCCAGTGGGCCCCTTGGTGCCGCCTCTGACCTTCGTTGGTCACGGGTATGTGTTTTGGGTGACACGGCACTCACGGCTCATCACTTCTGCTCCTTACGCGGGAAGCCAGCTTTAGGGAGAGGTCATTGGGGTCAGTCCTCCACCCCCTGCCTGAGGATGTGGCTGACCCTCAAGCATGTGCCCGACTCTCAGTGTGCGACGGTGACCTCCAGCCCTCATTGTCCAGAGCAGCTGAGGAAGAACTTTCTGGAAGGGATGCGGACTTTGGAGAAGACACCAAGCCCCTCTGGATGGCGCAGATCTTTGGTGCTTAAAGAATGGCTGTCCGTAGTATGGTCTCTATATTTACAGTGATTAATATCGGACAACCATTGTTTTAGTATCCGAATTTGCTTCAAAAGTTTTTCCAAGCGCAGTGCCAACTTCAGCAAGAGGACATCGGTGCCCGCCCCGCTACACAGCGTGACTTCATTGAAGATCTGTAATAACTAATGCAGTGACCCAAAAATGCAAGCCATCAGTGTGCTTTCCTGGAACTAATACCAGCTTTGGGGCGGAGATACACACTGGGAATTCGGGGCCATTTGGAACATGTTGATAATTGTTCATCTTTGTTTTCTTGTTATTAAATCTTAGCCATGAGGAATTCCTCAAAGAGATGCTGATGTCAGGCATCTCTCTAGGCAGCTACAAGGTGGACCAGGGCATCAGGCCCCCACCCCTGACCTTTGTCATACATCCTGAGCAGGGAAGACTTGCTGGAGGAGAGGCAAACATTAAAGAAACAGTCCATTTCCTGCCACTACTGCTGCTCAGTGCTTCTGAGCAGCTGTCCATCGAATGTTCTGTTTATTCTTGATGGACATGTCCTGGCCACATGTCCTCTTTCGGACTCACTTTGTCTTAGAGACTCTCTCTCACATGGAACACAAACTTTAATAATGAGACATTGTGGCCAACGGCACCTCTGGGTGTGTGTGTGTGCGTGCGTGCGTGTGTGTGTGTGTATGTGCGTGTGTGTGTGTGTGAGAGAGAATTTTTGGCTAGAGCAGTTTTTCTCAAACTCTAAAATGCCTCTAAGATTTTCATCACCTAGGGATCTTGTTAAAAGGCAGATTCTGATTCAGGGACCAAGATTCTGCATTTTTAGCAAGTTTCCAAGTGATGCTATTGCTACTGGTCGGTGGACGACACTCGGAACAGTTCGGGGCTGGACATAGGCGCCTTATTTGTGATGTGTGTCCCCTGATCCCCCAGTGTCCCTACGCCACCCATCAGGAGAGAATTTGCCAGAATCAACATGTTACTCTGTGCTTTGTGAACAATAGTTATCTATAATGGGCTCCCTTTGTGCATAGATGCCACGAGATTGTTCTTCTCTAGAATCAAATTGCGCCTCAAAGGCCTTCCCAGATACAAGACCCACTGCAGGGCGCTAATGTCAGCCCCGTGCGGGCCTTGTCAGGTGCTGGGTCAGCCGCGTGACTGATGCTCGGGCCATCTAATTCTGTGATCCTCCATTTCCAGCCAATCCGGAGAAGCTCCCGGCACAGAGGCCACCTGGAGGCGGAGACCGTGTCCGGGGATCCACGACCCTCCGTTTTATCAGAAGAGATGTTATCCGCGATGGCTTTGATTCTCGGTGACACATTCGTCTGCTGGTTTCTTCTTGTCATCAAATCCCATCTCTCAGAAATCCACGAAGGACGCTTTCCTTTTTTCTTTTGATTTTTAGGCTCGAACCTGCTTTAGAGGTCTCCCTGAGCATGCTTCTCATTTGGGAGTTTGGACGTTGGTGTCAGGGCCAAGTCTAGGCCCCGAGACCAAGGTGCGGGAGTGGCACTAGGTGCCCACACATGTGCTCTCTCTACAGGATATGAAACCCTGGCTCTGTGACCCTTGGGACTGAGCTTACGCTGAGACGAATCTTCTGGAGGTCAAGACAACGGTGGGGAGGAGGCCGTGGTTTTTGTTTCAGAATGTTCGGGGCTATTTGAGGAGAGGTTAGCCATGTTGTGCTCACTCCGTTCATCATGTATAACACGTGGTTAACCTCTTTTTGAATATCAAACTCTGCCTCAGAGGGCCGCCCACACGAGAGACGTGAGACCGTGTGCCTTGTGTGAGGTGTGACCCCGGGGTGAAGGCCAGCTTCCGGGAAGGGAGGTCGGCATGGGGCCGACCGGACTGCTTTGCAGTGTTTTTGTAGTGAACTTGGTGTGTTTTTACAGTCTGTATAAAGTCACCCTCCTTCAGTGCCGACTTGCCTGGGAGTGAGGGTACGAGGCAGGGTCAGCTCCAGAGGTGTGGCTTCTGTGGCCTGTCACCACAGGGCCGGTCAGTGGGCGCCTGACCGGTGAGCCTGCTCCCGGGGCATAGCTCACCTGGCACTGATCCTCAGGCCAGTCCCTTGCAGGTGGCTTCCTAGAGGCTCTGCTGGCCCCAATGGTTGCCGTCTCATCGGGACACTCGAGGAGAGGGTACTTCCGCCACCGAGACTTCTCTCAGAGACTTCACTCTGTTTTTGAGGGTCAAGACGCGCCTAGGACGGCCCCCTGGGTGCGGAGCCGCCACTTCCCCAGGTGTGTGAAAGGCAGGCCCGCTCCGCCCTCCCGCCTGTTTCTCGTTGAGGTCACTGCCCTGTGTCCGCTTCCTCCTCAGGTGGACGCCCGTGAGCCCTGGCAGCAGAGCCAGTGGGGTTTCCTGTCCCACTGCATGGCGCTTAAAGAGACTGGCTCCGAGCTGCGTCCTTTGCATCCCGTCGCCCGTCTGTGATGAAGGCGACATGACGCCCCTTCACTCCTGTAGCTCCATGGCACTCGGTCTGGATCAGAACACCACCCTCAGACCTCCTGTCGTAGGGAAGGGAGGCTGGCCCAGGCCCCCAGTGGGCGGAGGGCGGGTGTCACCGTCCTCACCGATCTCATCCGTGTTGAGGGTGACATCCGCTGTGTCCTGTCCTGACAGCTTGACCGGCGCGTGGCCGAATCCACACTCGGAATGGACACCGGTGGGGATGCCAGCTTCACAGTAAGAAGTACCTTACGTGCCCCTAAGGTACGTAAACGCGGAGTTGACCCCGGGATGTGCACGCTGTCCACGAACGTGTTCCGTGGGCCACTGACCCAGAATTCATGCACCCCCAGGAGAAGCCCCGGGGTGACTGGAGCCTTGGACACGGCGCTGGTGTTCCCATCGGTGTGAGCACGCGGGGCTCGCTGGGGACCATCCGGTGCCCTTTCGCTGCTCGTGACGGACACCACACAGCCGACCTCACTCTGGTGCCGTGGAGATGGTGTGGGGGTGTCCCACTTTCTGGGAGGGGGTCGCACGGTGCATGGGGGTGGGGCAGCACGTGAGGGTCCACGGCTCCGCAGAACGCAGTCCGTCCTCTGGGGACTTTGGGGAGCCAGGCCATTTCAGTGTCACCCCAGCTCCCTCAGAGAGAGTTCGGGTCTGTGTTCGTGGCTTACGCACAATGGTCTTGCAGCTCTCGGCGTCCTGCCCACGAGAATAGGCTGGCACCTCCCGTCCAGGGGAAGATTATTGCCGTCAGTGCCGATCCAAGGTCTACGGAGGGACAAAGTGGCCCTTGGCCCTCAGTGTCCCATCTACCTACAGAGGAGGCGGGGCCTCCTACCCTGCCACGCCTGAGCAGGTGCCGGCCACACGGGCCCTCGCTACCATGCTGTCTCGGTTATCGGTGTGATACAGTGTTATGTCCTTCCTGGATATAATCCAGCTTTGGGGAGAATTGCCACCCCCAGTACTTGAAAGGGGGGTCCACTGCAGAGTCCCCATGCTGTAGTGTGGCCTCCTTGGAAGTTCTACCCAGGGCTGAGCAGGGATGGGAGGTCGCCATTGGGGCCGCACTGCGTTTATGGCTAATCCCATCAGAGCTGCTGTTTTTCAGGACAAACTGCCGCCTGGAGCTGGGCGCCGACAGCACTCTGCACTCTCCCGCCCGAGGACAGGGCCTGGGCCATGATAGGGGAATGGATGGTTGATCAGAGAACATACATTTTATCAATGATGTATGTCAACTGATCCACAGTCCCTACCTATCCAGCGACTTCTCAGAACAGACTCCGGGAGAAGAGACAGTGGTGTCCTTACCTGTGCTAGCGCCTGGCCCTCGAGAAGACCTTCTCCTAGCCGGCTCGGCTCTCTGCGTGCCGAGTCACCCGAGGGGCATATTTGGAGCGCCGACCTCGCCCGGGCAGTGCCGTCGGCCTCGGCTCCTTCCCAGGCACCGAGCTGCATGGTTGGCCAGAGAGCATGGGCTTTATCTACGACGTGCAACACCCAGTGTCGTAACCGTCAGTCCCAATTCGTCTTTAGGAGGCCTAGCTGGAGGCGAGCTGGCCCCGGCGAAGGCACGGTCCATCGGCGTTGGCCTTCGGTACTTGAAGAGTGGTTATCCCTGCTGTGTTCGCTGTATTTATGACGAATCATACAGGGACATCCAGTTTTTCAGTATCAAATACTGCTGTGGAGGGCTGCTCGGGCAGCGGTGCGCCTTTGGGGAGGAGGTCCTGGCTGCTATACGTGCCCGAGGTATGTACGCGGATGCTGGAGCACGGCGCACATTCTCTTCCTTTGTGATGCGTGCCCCTCACGCGCCTGAGGCCAGAGTCTGATCCGCGCAGAAGGGGGCTGCCTAGGAAGGCCGTGATCTTCTGGAAGGCGTCGTGGTATCAGCACCGAACCATCACAGGAGGTTGGCCGGTGAGAATCCATTCACACACAACACCTGCCGCCTGTTCCAGGTGGACGCGATCCTTCCGTAAGATGAGTCCCTGGAGACCGTGTCGCCGTGAGAGCGTGGCAGCGATGCCGTCTGGCCCCTGCGAGGTAGTTGTTCTCACTGCCTTTGCTTCAGGGAAGATGCTTCTCGCGTGCCCAGCCTTGCCCAGGGAAGTTTCCAGAAAGCATTGTCGACCTCGGGGAGGAACGTTGGCATCGCCTCTTCCCAGCATACGCCGAGAGGTCGTCGAGCAGAGCGGCTCTTTGTTCCTTGTGGGTCTCACCTGGCCACTCTCCCGCGGACCTGGCCCGATCTTATACTGGCTCTGGGGAAGGGCTCACCTGGGCCGCGATGCTTTTCAGTCAGCTCTCCCTCGTTAGGATCGGTCTCTCGTTACCATAACCATGTGGCCCATCAATTGATCGATCAACAAGGAATGATTCAGTCATTCCACAGACAATCCCTGAGTCCATATCGTGTTCTAGATGATTCTAGACTTTAGCTGTTTCCTCTAAACTAGAGGTAGAGCAGCGACCAAGATAAAATCCTTGCTCATGTGGTCTCACAAGGTGGACAAATAAATGCGAACCATGAAACATTTTGTCCACAGGAGGTTTTATGGAGAAAAGGAAAGAGATAAGGTGCCAGAAAGAGGTGAAAGTAAGCTGGACTTTTATGTTAAAAGTAGGGGTCTGGGTCTCCGTGGGGAGGGGAAATGGGAATGCAGAGGGGCGACAGGCGATCTGGGGCAGGAGCGGTCAGAGCGGGCGTGGTGCACAGGGGGACGCGCTCTGGCCGCTTTGAGAAAAAGCGAGAAGGGCAGTGGGCCGGACTGAGCTATGGCAGGGTCACTGGGGCTGAGGGGACAGGTGGCCTCGGGGGGTGAGCACGTTGGGATTTTCTTCTGAATGAGGCAGAGTCTATGGGAGGGTTCCCAGCAGGGAGGGCGGCATGCTTTCTGTTGCAAAGATCACTGTGACCACTGGCAATAGACAGGCCACCCCGGGGCCTGTTGCGTAGATCAGGGGCGAGCTGATGGAAGCGTGGACGAGGGTGGGAGCCCCCACCGAGGTGGGAGACGTGGACACCATGGGCTGTCCTGAGGGTGGAGCCAGCAGGTCTGCAGAAGGACCGGATGAGCCCAGCCAGGGTCGGGAGTGGGAAGTGGGGGAGGGCACGGCCCAGAGCTTCTAAACGTGCGATCGTGGTCGAGTAGGTTTTAGAGCAAATCAGTGGGTAGCCAGGGAACTTTAGAGGAGGTGCTGTGACCTGGAGGGCCAGGTGGGATGGAGGCAGAGGTAACCGGAAGCGAGGAGGTCACCAGGCCGACGCGGGGGAGCCGTGTACAGCGCCAGCGTGTGGTCACTCCCAGGAAGGAAGCCAGGAGGTGTTCATGGGGGAAGGTGGGGACTCAGAAGCTGTCGAGGGGGCCCGGGTTGTTTGGGAGAAGGTGGGTGAGGGCCTTCAGTGGCGTTCTTCTTGGGATTGCTTTCTCGGGTGCTTCGTCAGGGTGAGATGGGGAGCAGAGGGGCGGGGCAGGGAGTGGGGGGTCCTCTGGGACGGTGAAGGGCTTGGCGACTCTCCCTCAGCGCTTCCTGCGGCTGCCCCGGGTCCCAGCCGAGCAGACCCTTTGGGAGCACCCTACGGTGCTCTCTCTGGAGCTCCGCCCGGGCAGTGGACCCCACGTGTCGCCAAGGCACTCGGCTAGTGCCCTAGTGCGCTTGGCGGATACCTCGAGTGTGCTCTGTTGAGAAGTCCAAGGTCCCTGTTCAGAAACCCTTGGGTCCACGCACACGTGGAGGACTCCTGTGACAAGTGGCCTCCCTCTTCTCGTTTCTAAACCCTGCCCCTGAGGGCTCAGGAACACGATTTCAAAGCCAGCGAAGGGGTCGGTCAGCTCCACTCCAGGAGAGGTGAGTGAACGGCCCCCAAACTCCTGTGTGTTCTCAGGACGCAACTGACCGTGTCACTAACACTGTCCAATCTGCCCACAGGACGGCGGCTGGAGGCCACGCCCTCCAGAGAAGCGGAAGGGGACCCCTGTCTGTCTTGTCTCTGCTTTTCTGTGGTACTTGAAGAGAAGTTGTTCGTGGTGGATTCGCTTTACTTATGACGAATCATTCACGGACAACACTTTTTTCAGTACCAAATGCTACCTCTAAGGACACTGGACACGGTGGCAGCTTCACAGAGGACATTTTCATGTTGTCAGCCGTGTGGAGAAGACGAGACTGGATGGTCGGCCAGGGACACCAGGCTTGACCTAGCTGTAAGTCGTCTGGTCCACTAAGCTGAGCACCCGACCCGCCTGTAGGAGGCGCTCCCCGGGCCATGCCAACTCAGGGGAAATGGCTGTGGTTCTGTCAACAGAGTCACCTCACAAGACTTTGAAGAGAGGCGTCCTGGGCCCAAGGCCAGCTGCAAGAAGAGATGCTGGTGTCAGCACCGTGCAGGGTGTGTGACTGGCTGACCAGAGGTGCAAGCACTCTGTTCCCCCCGTGGGCCACCTAGTCACCACCCCTCAGCACCCACCCCACCCAGCCAGGAAGACTCTGTGGAGGTCCCGCCACCTTTGGGCAAGCGACAGTGGACTTGTGGCAGTGGCTGCTTGGTGGACATGGATGACGGTGGTCGGGAGGGTGTGTTTACTTAAAATGTGATGAGTCATCCCTGGCAGCCCCTTCATCACTGTCACCGTCACAGCCTCCTCGAAGCGCTCCTGGGACACGACATCGCCTTCCGACGAGGGACCCGAAGACCCGAAGCCAGCGAGCCGGCTCCTCTCCAGGGTGTGTGACTCTTCACGGGGCTTTACCTGCCAGGTGTGGCGCCTGGTCCCCTGACCCCCGTCCCCTCTCTCCACAGGAGGCCCCCGGAGGTGGCACCTGCTTTGGGAAGTGACCATGGCTCTCCGGCCAGCACCGCTCCGTCCCATGAGCGGGGAGGGGCTGCCACGACAGCTGACTTGGACAGCCGGCTGTCGAATGGTGCCCCCTGGCCAGGAAGCCTCGCTGGACCGGCCCTGCCGAGGGTAAGTGCGTCTCGGGTGAGCATGCGATTAAAGTGGTAGTATGTCACTCGGCCCACTACCCAATATTGTCCCACCCATTCTTTACAGGGCTCCTGCGAGGGGCAGCCGCCTGCGGGAGCGACGATGGATTCTCAGCAGCTCTCACTTATGGTACTTGGAGAGAGGCTGGCCGTGATGAATTCGATTCATCAAAGCGAGTCATACACGGCTCTCCTCTCTTTGAGTGTCAAATTCTGCCTCGGAGGGCTGGCTGAGCTGTGCTGTTCCCGAGGTAGGTGCCCAGCTGGCTGGGCCCTCAGCAAGCGCTTTCCTGAGGATGCACGCTACTGCCGCACTAACCAGTGGCCAAGCTCGGGCGACCCCCTGGGGCACTACTAACCTTAGGACGAGCTGAAGGGGTGGCGGAGTGCCCTGACTTCTAAAACATGAGCAGCGAAACACACATGGCTGACTTCTTCTGCTATCTGACTCAACCTTGAAGGGGCATCTAGGGGCATCTTTTTATAGTCCGCTCTCAGGATATAGGGGAGAACGGGACAGGCCCCGCGTGACCCCTGGTTTACTAGCCTGCCGCAGCCCCGCGCCCTCCAGGGCACTCTCGGGGGCTTTACTAAGGAGGCTGCCATTAACCTGGCCTTGCACATGTGTGGTCTTTCAAGAGCTCTTGGCTTCGTCTTTACGACTCACACGCGCTGACTTCTTTGCATTGCTGGGTGTCGCTTGCATGGCCGGCCAAGTGCAGGAAGTGGCATTGCTGGCCGCACTCATCCCAGGTTGGTGAACCAGGGGTTGGCCGGAGAGCATGGGTTTGACTTGGGGATGGAGCCAGTTGGTCCCCTCAGCCTCAGTGTCCCATCCGCCCTCAGAGGCCACTCCCAGGCTGCCCAGACTGCGTGGATACGGGATGCCGTGAGCACTGTCACCTCGTGGTGCCGGAGGGAGGTTGTCCGTGGTGAGTTCGCATTGTTTAATGATGCCCAATACACGGTCGATCTCTTTTCGGTATCGCATCTCGCCAGGCGTCATCTTGGAGCTGATGCCATTTTCGGGGAGGCCCCTCATGTAGGTCCCGCGTCAGTGTATGGGAACTTACAGTTGGCCCTGGAACTAATAATGGGCAGGTGTCACTAGTGCCCCTTGTCCCCATTTGGCCTAGTTAGAGGGGCATTGCCTGCTGCAGGGAAGAAGCACAAGATGTAGGCTGAGACCCTAGCCGATCGGGGGAGTAAGGGTATCCGCCATGCCTCTGGGAATCTTTTAAAGGAAAATGACCAAGAGTCCTTTTCTCTTTTCCTATTAAATCTGTCTTGGAGGGAGGATTTCTTAGGCGTGTTGCCAAAGTCAGGGAAGGGGCGTGGTTTCAGCATTTTTTTTCTGGGTGAAGTGCGCAAGCAGATTCACTTCTGTTGGCCTGGAAGCCACAGCAAATTCAAGGCCAGAGATTGGTTAGTTCCGTTTTCATAATTTTGCAGGCGAAATTATGTTTCTTGTTTTTCTTCTTGAAAAGAATAATTATTCTGCCTCATTCTCATATTTATTGGAATGAAAAATGCTTATAATAAAAACTCAAGCGATGTGGAAAAATGTAACTAAAAAGGGAGAAAATGACCCAGATCTTCGCGCACCCAGAAATCACCACGAGGGTTTTAAAAATTTCAAAGACCGGTCTGAATATGTATGCAAATAGAGAGGTAGACAGAGAAAAATATTTCACAAATATGGGATCACATCGTATGTAAACTTATTGAAAATGTCAACTGTAATTTTACTTGAATTTAACGTAAAGAATGAGCCAAAGACGATGACAAGAACGGATGAATGTTCTTGCTCTGCCATAAGTATTAATTCCTAAAAGATCCCTATAAAATTAAGAAACATTATGTAAAACGTTAAGTGGTTTGGATCATATATATATATATTTTTTTAATTGTTCCATTTCGCTGTTCATTCTGAAATATAAGAAAAATCAGCAGACTCACACTTAGCCCCACCTCCTGCTTTATTTTTACTTACACAATTTAATTCTTCCATTATAAATATTTGCATTTTTTCCATAACCACAATTCTTGCAGGTGTTTAATCATGGTATTGTATTTAAATGAAGTCATTACTCACCACCGGTTTTTTTTTTTTTTTTTTCCGTTAAACTAAGCCTTCTCTATTCCTGAGATTTTTATTTTAATTCATCTCTCAGTGGATGGATTTTATCACTGTTTCTTCGAGACTGGCTCACAGACGCTACCACCTCAGTCCCCGTGCGTTTGAGAATACCTGTCTCTTACTTTTATACACAAGGGACAGCTTAGCTGGGTACATAGTTCTCAGCCTGCTTTTTTTTTTTCTTCCTTAGAACCTTGTAAACACCGCTCACTGCCTTCGGCATTTAGTATCTCGCTAGCTTTTTGGTTGTGGCTTCTCCACATAGCTCTTCCTTTTCTGGACTGTGTTATCCAGTGGATCTTCAGAGTCTTTGTTTGAAGGACTTTGAGGCATATTCTGTGAGGTTTTTCATCTCCAAGAATGTCTGACTATTGCTCGTACACCCTTACTCATCTCTTTTTTTTCATGCTATTCTATTCAACTGTATAATTTCTAATTCTTTTAAGTCTTTTTAGTCACTTTAAAGACGCTTATTGTATAACTTTGTCAGGTTGAGGGATGCAACCGTTTCTCTTCTTGAGTCTGCTGATTCAGTGCTTTTGTTCAGGGTTTTGTAACTAAATGGTGGGTCATTATCAGCGGGGACCAGGCGTTTCTGTTCTATCCCCTGTGTAAAAGAGCTCGACGTTATGGTTCCGCGTTGGGTTCTCCCTGGCGCCCAGTGACTTTTACCAGCTGGGACCAGTTTTCCTACTCATTCATTGGCTTAAGGATTCCCCACCTCATGGCTGGTATAAAACCTTCCACATCATTGTCCTGGAGTGTCGTTCCCTCCAGGAGATCTTATGCTTCCCGAAGCCAAGCCTGAGGGAAACGGACTCCCTTGTCATTTCCGTGGGCCCGTAGAGTGTGGTGGCTCCCTTTCCATTCCAGGTCCCCACATCCCTTGGGCCCAAGGCCACATCTCCAGTCGCATTGTGACTTCAGACCCTTTGAGCCTCCAATGAGGAGTCCCTTAGGTCTCTTGGTGACAGGTTGCAAACTTGTTGCTCTGATTTAAATTATCTCTTTATCAGCAGCCGAGGGTCCCCCAACCCAACTTTATTTTTTCTGGCTGCACATTTATTTACCAATTGGTTTTGGCTTTTATCCGTCATTTCTCTGCATTTGTAGAGGAGAGGGTTCTCTGCTACATCTTGGGCAGGATCTAACTCAGTCACTACCTTTCTTTGCCAATTTTTCTAAATCATAATATGCCTTCTTGATTAGTAGACTCGGTCATTGCTTTGTTTCGAGGCTGTCTTCTATTCTTTCGATGAGTACTTTTCTATTCCACGTGTTGGTCTTTTCTTGGGTTAAATGATCATTTATTATTTCATTATATACTGGAAGAGGGAAAAAATCTGTGATCTGGCCCCACGCTGCCATCTTTCGGTGGAAGTCTCTCTTTTGTCATTCGGCATCTGCACTTGTCTGCTTAAAATGCATCCCGTCCGGAGGTCCCCTTCTCAGTGACACCCCCCACCTCAGCGGACGCCTCTTTGCCTTGGATGTGGAGTCAGGACCTTCTTCTTAGTACATGAATTTACCTTCAGCAATGGGGATTTATCTGCTGACCATGGATCGGTCTGAATATTAACCCCAAGTGTGCGATTTATCCCCAGGGAGACTTCCTGGAGGCCGCGCCACCTTTGGAGATGAGGCCGCAATGCCGAGGCGAGGTCAGTACCACACCACGGGATAATAAGCTTTGCGTCTGACACTGTCATTTTCTTTATAATCGATATTTGCAGAGTCCACCTCTTTAGAGTGAACTCCACCTTTGGAGGGCTTCCTGGACACAGGAAGAGAAGGTCACTGCCGTCAGCTTTGATGCTAATGTGAAATGAGGGAATGTTCCCTGCCGTGATCAAAATAATGCGTTCTTATGCATGTGACCTCTCCACGCTAAACCCCCGGAAGTGCGTCTTAGATACCCTGCCAAGCATGGCAAAGGTATTGACGCCTGGGCTGCTGCAGGGTCTGTAATGGGACAGTTGAACATGACTTTGTCTCAGCGTCTCCACTGAATCTTGGTGTTCACTCTGTCCTTAAGGGAACTTTCCAGAGGAGGCCAGCTTTGGAGAAGAGGTGCTGTCACCGGGGCTGTGCTAACCTGTGGTACCTAAGATAGGTTCTTTGGGTTGCCCTCATTTTATTTGTGATGAATCATACACGGTGTGCTTTTTTTTCAGTACCAAATCCTGCCTTGGTGGCTTCCTGGGGCCGAGTCCCACTTCAGGGAGGGGCCTTGGTGTCAGCTTCTCTCCAGGGTAAGTGGAGGGACTGTTGGCCACAGCTGACCACAAAGCATGTGCTTTTCTGGTGCTGCGTGCCTGGCCCTAACCCTCTTTGTGTGACCCATCCAGGAGTCAGTTGGTTCCTGGAGGTGGCGCCAGCGTCGGGCAAGAAGTGGAGCTTCGCTCAGCAGGGCCGCTTGCTGGTATTTGAAGAGAGGTCTCCCATGATGCGTTCACTTTGTTTTTTGATGAATCATACATGGTTGACCTTTTTTTAAGTATCAAATCTGGCCTTAAAGTATCGTGGGGCGATGGCAGCTGCAGGAACTCGAGCTGGTATCCGCACACGTGAATGGACGGTTGAGCTGCGCATGCGCACGGCCTCCCGCGTATGTGTCACCGGTGCTCCCTCGCCTCAGTGTGATGTCTCCCTGTAGGGTCACCGGTGGTCGTTTCACTGTAGACCCATGACATGACTGACAGGGGGGTCGTCCCTGCCTCTCTCTTCACGTGGAACAGAGAACACTCCGCACACATTCGTCGAGGCGTTACCCTCCCCGAATGGCGTCCTGGAAAGGGCGCTGATTTGGAGGGACACTGGGGTCTATACTTGACGGGGGGACGCGCCTGAATGGGGCTGGACCACAGAGCCTGTGTTTTACTGACGGTGCGCGTTGCCAGCATCCTCACTCTCGGTATCCCGTCGTCCTTAGGCCTGCTGTCTGGGACATGCCGGAAGCCAGCACCCTAGTCCGGTACTCGAATGGAGGTTGTCCATGGTGTGTTCATTTTATTTATGATGAGTATTACATGGCCAATCTCCTTTCGGTACTAAATTCTTCTTGGGAACACGTCACCGGGGGCGTTTCCGCCGGCGCCTGTCCACGGTAAGGAATCAGACCATGTACCCCACGAAAAGGGTTTCCTGGGGTACGGGTGTCACCCGGCCCAGGATTCCTGGGAAGGACGCGGGCTTTTTAGGTGAGACCATGGTTTTCTAGTCACAATTACCTTCCCTTCCTTGCAGACTCCTTAGTGAACGAAGCATGTTTGGTAAACTTCTTTTTAGGAGAAGTCATCTTGCAGGCACATTTTAGGGAAGGGGACTTTCGCGCCAAGCCAGTGGCCTGGGATGGGAGGCACACACTGTATTTATGCAATGGGTTACTGCCCCTCAAGTATCCTCAGGGTGACCTCGGGGAAGCGTAGCCACCTCTGGGGAGGTGGGGGTGATTGGGGGTCCTTGGCGATGAGACTGGAAGGTGTCCGAAGACAGATTTCCTTGGCATGATTCATTTATTCCTGGTGCAATGTAAGAATCATTAATAGCTGTCATTGTTACCTCATATTTGCTAGCTGTGTAACCCCGGGCAAGCTACTTAATCTGCCTCCTCTCTGTGCCTCGGTTTATTCATCTGTAAAATGGGGTTGAAACCCACTCATAAGATATATGTGAAAACTCAGTGTATACGTGAAGTGTTTAGACACCGCCTGGCACATGGTGAAGTTTAATGAGTGTTGGCCCTAATGGTGGTCACTATTTTGCTATTGTCATTGCATCAGGTCTTCCTTTAGTGTCCCTTTGCCTGCTAGAATGCAAGCTCCCTGAAGGCAGAGTCTTGGTCTGTGTTGTCTACTGGACAGTAGCTGTGCTGTTGAATGAATGAATGAAGGGCAGGTTGACACGTCTTCATCGAACACCCTCCTCGAGGCCTCCCAGAAGGAAGAGTGAGTGGAGAATGGTGGGGACCCCGTGCTTTCCCAATGACACGGTCCACTTGCCCTCGCGGCCCCGCCCACCCCAACAAGGAGTCGCTGGTCTTCTTGTCAGGAGCCCCACGGTTTCGGAGCTGGATGGACCCTCTGTGGTGACAGCACTTAAGGAGAACAGTTAACAGCCAGTCCCTTCTCTGTGTCAAATCCCAGCTCAGTCTGCCTGGAACAGAATCCAGCCTCGGGTAGGACCTTGGTGTCGGTGCCTCTCTAGGGTAAGTGACCACACTGGCCCAAGCGTGGACCCGACTTGTGACGCTGTCCTCATGGGCTCTCACCCACTACCCACACCTGACCAAAGCCGGCTCAAGGGACGAGCCCTGGTGCCATTTGAGCTGTAGCATATGACCCTCTGTTATGATAGACGGTGTTCCACTCACACGCAGGGCATTCCCGAGATGCAGCGCCAGCCTCTCCAGAGCTGGGGGTGAGGGGGGAGACAGAGAGGGAGAGGGAGGGAGGGACGGGTATCGGCACCGACCCAGGGACATGCACAGCCAGCCCCTGGAGGCAGTGCCACCTTTGATGAAGAGGCACCTCGGTATTCTTGCCCGTGCCGACGTTTGATGCTGGAGCAGAGGTCGCCCTTGGTGAATTCGCTTTATTTATGTTGAATCACACAAAGGCAACTTTTGTTTGAGTATCAAATTTTGCTGGGATGGCTTCCGGGACCTAGTGGCAAGCTCAGGGTCGTGACCTTCCCATGACGAGACCGGACGCTGTCGGTGTGGGTGTCTGCCCTCTCTGATGGACAAGAACAGCAGTCGGTCAGAGACACAAGCTTGATTCACGATGTGGGTCACCTGGGGACATGAGGAGAGCCTCGGCGCTGAGCCTGCTTATTACCTGGGAGCCTCTTGACGTCACCACTTTGACCTTTGATCCCAAAGACATTCTGCCTCTACCACTTTCTCTCTGAAGGTATTTTCACCTTGTGAATAAGGATTTGCACTTAACAGTTTTAAAGGCTGCAGTTTCCCATTCTCTCCTTTGCTTCTCCCTCCCTCTCTCAAAATCCCTCTGGTGTTTTTTCTGTCTCTGATTTTTTCCTCTGTGTTTCTCTATGTCCATCCATCCATCCATCCATCCACCCATCTATATCTATCGTTGTATCATCTTCTTATCCCCTGCCAAACAGCACCCCCATCTTTCTATGGGTTATGAAATGAATAGAAGCTACCGGTATTTCATCTCATTTGTATTAAATTATAGTGATAAAAATAATCAACACAAAATAAAACTTAAAAACAACTGAAATGCACAGCATAAAACATGTTCAATTGACTACAAATTGGCAGAAGAATCCAATTTTCTTGACAGCATTTCAGCTGCCACATTTGACCTGGGGAAATAGAATGCCATAGATATGGTGGCCGCAGGAGGGATGGCTGGTGGCAGCGGCCCTGAACAGCGATATTTGATGTAGACAAAAGCACGTGGAGGAATCAAATTTGCATTCAAATTTTTAAATGGAGAAGAAATGATCCTAATGAAAATGATTTGGGGAAAATAACAAGGGAAATAAAAGAAATGAAAACAGCTCAACAGCACAGTCAGGCAAGCTAAGCAGGGAACGGGGTTAGTTTAATGGAATTCACTCTGAAAAACACATTTTTATGAAAATCAGCGTTGGCACCGTTCTCATTAAGATGGTTGAAGTCATATGTGTTTGGAGGGTTGTCAGTGGGTCAACAGGAACGTGGAGTCAGAGCACAGTGTCTATATGCAGCCGACTTTACTTTCTACCCAAAATCTTCCCAAAGTGCTTTGGCATGGGCGTGCTGACCTCAGGGGTGACACACTGGTAAAGTAGGCACGTGTCGAGCCAGAACGTGTGCCCTCTTGGAGGTGTGCGTGACTCGTCTGCTCCCTCTTAGTGTCCCTCCATCCCCTTGGGGGGTTCTGGGTGACATGCTGACTGCAGAGTGAGACAGAGTGCCTTGGTCAGTGGGATCTGGGCATCCAGGACTGCTGTGAAAACACAGGAAGGCTGGGACAGTCCCAGCTGTCACCCTTCCCTAGGCCCCAGTGTTGGCACGTCTCAGGAATCATGCCGACCCCAGGGACATGTTCCAAATTGGTGCCGAATGTCACTTGGTCATAGGGGCTGAGCTTTGTTTGGGAGGTGACCCTGGAGTCGGTGCTTCTGGGATCAAAACCACTGGGTGGGATGTGAAAAGAGCTTGTCTTTTGCTGGCATGAACACCGCATGGCAGATCTCTTCCCAGACCCACCCCTGCCTCAGGGACTTCAGAAGCCATGCACCCCCAGGAGGGGGCCAGCAGGCCGAGCCTCCCAGGGTAGGTGCATGGGGGCAGCCCCCAGGACACACCCTGAGTGTATTGACGGTGTATGTCATCTGGTCCACTAGCCAGTGCTGTCCAGCCCGTAGTCGGGAGCTGCGTCTGGAGGCGATGCCAGCTCGGGGAGAGAGCCTGCGCTGCAGGTCAGTGTCCGCGGTTCCCGATGAG